GCACTGATCTGGGAATGGTGTATAATGGATTTCCAGAAAAACTACCATCATGAAATTTCTAAGACCTCTCTATATAACTACTTTTGTCCACAATACTTAAAGTCTGACTTTATACTATTAAATAAACTGTGGCCCAAAATGAATAATATAATAATACCAACTAGCACAGCATTCTGGTAAATAACTAAGTAATTCAGTATAGGCATATTAAAATTTAAGACTTAGCCCTATAATACAGAAACAAACTACTCCATCATAGAGAAAGTATAGGGACTTGAAATACTTTCTTTTGTAAAAGTAATAGGCTATTCTAAGACACAAATCTACAGGACATAATTCTCACAAATGAGCTTCCAAACAAGGCTTTTAAATGAAACTCCACCAGAGAAATCATTTGAGAAGCCAGATTCACATTTTATTAATGTGACAAGTATAACAAGATAAATATATCATATGACTCTCAAATGACATAATTAATGTAGCTTATGTGACATATTCCCATTAATGATCTTTTATTATGTGTGAATAGTAAAATAACATTAGATAAGCAATGAAAAAATCCAATCAGCAGCAGCTTTCCTGAAGGTTTTGATTGCAGTCTTATGTAAACAGTGTTATCTGATACTAATCCTTGGATTTTAAAGAGCAGAAATAGCTTCAAAATTATAAACAAACATGTTCCTATGAGATGAGCATTTTAATTACTATTATTTCTGCAAATACAAGATAAAAATAATGTGATGGATGACACAGTCTCTTGACTAAATGTGAAAACAGGGGAAAGTATATTTTGCCAGGCCAATAAGGTTATATGAATAAAGGAATCATGACACTGGATGGGGTACCTGGTTTACAGAGCCTGGTACTATGTCTTAACCATGACTTCCACTGACATTTTGCCAAGAGTGTGATTTCTCCCTCCCTAATATTATCTGCAAAAGATTAGAAATGAGTGACAAAATATTCTGGTTTTAACAGTCCACTATAATCTGCATCTATGAATCAACTGAAAGTGTAATGAGGAGGCAAAATATATACATAGAGATAGGTGCACAAAGAGACAAAAAGATTACTACCAATAAAAGACAATCCATTTACAAAGGCACAGGCTAAATGATCCATGAATTCAGAGGTAGGTAACACTAGTTTTTTTCAAAAGAAAAGGAGAGTGGGAAGAAGAGCACCTTGGTGGTAGTATCTAGAAGTGAGGGAGCAAAGCTGTGGCTACCTTTCATTTATTGGGATCATCTCAGCTTTACCTTTCTTTTATTTTTGAGACAGAGTCTTCCTCTGTCGCCCAGGCTGGAGTGCAGTGGTACAATCTCGCCTCACTGTGACCCCTGCCTTCCCAGTTCAAGCAACTCTCCTGCCTCAGCCTCCCACGTAGCTGGGACTACAGGCATGCACCAACATGCCCAGCTAATTTTTGTATTTTTAGTAGAGACAGGGTTTCACCGTGTTGGTAAGGCTGGTCTCGAACTCCTGACCTTGTGATCCGCCCGCCTTGGCCTCCCAAAGTGTTGGGATTACAGGCATGAGTCACCACGCCTGGCCTCAGCTTTATCTTTCTTTGATAAAAATCTCTGGTCAGAAAAGTTCCCAAATATATTGGTAAGTAACACGTTTTAAAGTAAATAAGACCTGGTCCAATCCTAGCTGTCACCCTATGCCATGCTATGTGACTCTGAATAAGTCACTTGGCCCCTCTAAACCTGTTTGCTGATCTGTAAAATGCAAATTGTAACACCCCACTTCAGCGGATAAGAATTAAATGAATGCATATGGACCAATTAAAGATGACTTAGCATAGAACAAGTGCTTTTAAAATTACAGCTGTTTATTTGTCTAATACTAAATGCCATCCTTACCAAGATTGGGATAACTGCTCAGAATCTTGCTTTTTTATTTTAAATCACTTTACTGAGGTATGACAGGCATAGAAAAACCTGTAGATATTTATTTTTTAACATTTATTATTATTTTTTGAGACAGTTTCTCTCTTATTGCCCAGGCGTGAGTGCAACGGCGCGATCTCAGCTCACTGCAAGCTCTACCTCCTGGGTTCAAGTGATTCTCCTGTCTCAGCCTTCTGAGTAGCTGGGATTACAGGCACCCGCCACTAAGCCCAGCTAATTTTTGGTACTTTTAGTAGAGATGGGGTTTCACCATATTGGCCTGGCTGGTCTAGAACTCCTGACCTCAAGTGATCTGCCTGCCTGGGCCTCTGAAAGTGCTGGGATTACAGTCGTGAGCTACCATGCCCAGCCAGTTATACGCATTTAATTTATACAATTGAATGAGTTTGGGTATATAAGCATATACTTGTGAATCTTGCTTTTTAGGACGATTACATGGCTCTTGGTGGGAGACCTACTGTGCTCTAGAAGACTAGAGGTCCTCACTAGCCCTGGGGCCAGGACATGATTAATTTTGTTCTAACGATTTCTTTGTGAAAAGATTGTAAACCCTAAATGAATATTACAGGCTCACAACTTTAAAAACCTTGTTTTAGTATTTAGATTAATCCAGCAAGTAAGCAGAGAAAACAGAGGAGAGAGCTCCCCTTCAATCATACACCCCAGCTGCATGCTCGGTTAGAAACAAAGAAATCTAGAACCTATAATCACTCTCTTACAGTGAACCTAGAATTTAGAAAAGCCAAAACTAGTAGTGACTGACAGGACACCATGATAGCAAACTACCACAAACGCTGCTTGGGGCAGCACTCTTTAGATGATCTTCCTAGCTTTGTTAAAATCACATCAATGCAGTATCACTTTTCATCTGTAGTGTAAATGGTTTTTATGAAACAGTTTGGTAAAACACATGGCATGTGACTGTACCACTACAAATGTGTTAGCAGACCCAGCCAGAAACCATGGCAATGATCTGATCATGTCAGTATTCTAGAAAGAGTAAGAAAATAAATCTAATCTTTATAAAGACTTACTGGTGCCCTACCAGAGTTGGATATCTAATCTCTTCCAAGGGAGCTCCCATTTCCAATGTAGAAGAAGCAACAATTGCTCTCAAGCTACCACCAAATAAACATATGGTATTTGATGGCTCGGCTTATTTTTTAATCTTCTATCAACTCTGCAGAATTGTATCTGGATCTTTACAACATGATGATATGAGATTATGAATACAGTGAATAAATACAACCTTCTGGTATAACAATTTAAGCATCACAGAGTGAGTAAATACTGCAGAGTGAATCCTAACACTTGCAACAGAATCTTCCAGAGTCCAGAAATCTACCTGACTGCCAAGAATAATACTTCCGTGGTTCAAGCAATACCAGTACCCAGAGGGGTTTCCACAGACATAACCACATGAGTTACTGCATACTGGGTAAAATAGAAAAAGCAGACATTTATGAATGTACAGTTTGCAGACATCTTAAAACTACTCATAAACATGCAATTTACAAATATAGAAGAAATGGGGGACTTTAGGGATATGCAGCATCTGTTTAAATTGCTTAATTATATGGTTTCTTCTATGAGTTTTCCTCATACTAACGGTCTGTATTGGGGGTGGGGGTGGGGAATACATGGGTCTCCCAACCAAAGTGAATGAAACCAATCTCACTGAAAGAAGCTCTGTGATGAGAACTATTATAATACATGAGAGATTCTTGACTTCAGGATGAGGAAGAGAAGACACAGGGTCAGAGGACAAAACCCCATCAATTAGATATCAAAGAAAACCTTTCAATTTACCAGGCTATGCTGAGGCAGGGTTTGTCAGATTCTCTAGCAATAAAAAAATGCACAGTATCTTCTCATGCACCTCACACATGATTTCTATTTCAGTTCTTATATAAAACACAGTATCACACATCGTGCCACAAAGAAAAGAGTCAGTTTAGCTAGTTCAAGTAAAAACCAGGCAGCTGCTAACAGAGACAGGTCAAGGCTGGGGAGGGCTACAGCACATTCAATTTGCTATGTTTTTCCTTCAGAAGAATGTCAATAAAAACCACGGCCAAATGAGGTATCTGAAGTTAAAAAAAAAAAAAAAAAGTCCTGTTATACAGTGAACCGCTGGGTTCACCTAACAGTTAGGGGCAGTCAGACAAGTTAGCAAAAGAGAGCCCTAGCCAAATGTACAGCGGCCAACAACTTGAAGAAAGCTGTCTTTCTCCCTCGACATCCTAGGGTAGGGACCAGTCCCACATTTAGAAACATTATTTCTGGGACCAATAGCAATTTATTTTGATAGAACCACTGGATTTTTTTTTTCTTGAGTTCTCAACAAAGGAGCCATATTAGGAAATAATCTCGCAAAAAGCAAAGTGCCCCCTCCCCCTTTTCCCCATGATCGATTCACACACGCTGGTGCACGCTGACACGCACAGACACAAGCCCGTGCACAATGGCCAGAACAGGAACTCGCACTGGCCCACGAGGCCTCAGGACCCCGGCAGGCTGAAGGCTCGGGTATAGCCAGCCCCAGGCGCTCAGGCAGGAGGCCCCTCCGCCCGCCGCCCCGGAACCAGCTGCTGGGCTGGTGTGCTGGGGCTGCTCGCCCCCCAGCGGGGCCCTGGGGAAACGGCTGCCAGCGGCTCAGAGCCTTTTAACCCCTTGGGGAAATAGGTGTTATAACACCCACCTGCGGGGCCTGGTCAGGGGTGCAGCCTCGAATGCCCCCCCTTCCCCGCCACGGGGCAACACTTAGCAGCTCTTGGCTGGCTCCCGCAAAGCTAATCGTGTCGCTGTCTGCACAGTACTTGTAAAGCAAACGGGTGTTTCTGCGCTGTCACCCCCGGGGGTCCAAGCACACCAAGAAGGAAAAACTTAGAGGGCAGTAGATGCAGACTAGACTTGGTAACTCGTCCCTAAGGGACTGAGGAAAGTCCCAAAGGGACCAGGGCTGCTTGGACCAGCTGGCCCAGCGAATTACCAAAGGGGTGGAGGGATCTGAGGGCAACCGCCCCATGTCCCCTTCCCTGGGTCGGGGACTGGGGCCCGTCGTCCCCTCTCCAGGACACTTACCTTCTTCCGGGGCTGCCATTTCATCATATTTGTACAGCCGATACGTGGAACATCAAGATGTTGGCTGGGGGCTGGGGGCAGATGCAGGGCAGCGACGACTGCAAGTCATGCTGCCTCCCTCCCACCCCCTAATTCTTTCCCATATTCACTGCGAAGGGAAAAGCCCCAGGAGAGTCCAGTCTTTTCGCCTTCAGTTCAATGAAAAGTATCCCCAAACCACGAACACACTTCCCACCAGGCTAGGAAGTCCCAGCAGCCACCGGCGTACTCCTGCCAGAGCGGGGCATTTTCCCGGCCAGCGCCTGCAAAAGGAGCCTGCGGCAGGGGGTCTCCAAGCTGGCTGCAGAGACCCTCCCTCAGAGAAGAGACTGAGATCGCGAGCTGCTACAGAATCCCAACCGGGCTTCTGCCATCCAAACCCCTTTTGGCGATTTCTCCTCTTCTCAAAAAAGATCAGACAAGCAATCAAACCCTCACGCGCAGCCTGGAGCAATTCCCACAATTCTGGGTGTATTTCTCGTTTGTAAAATTTAGCAAAGAAAATTCCAAAGATCTGTAATCAGAGCTTCTTTACGCTGTTTTCGCTTCCTTCTTGGATAACTTGGGAAAAGGATCTGCCTTTCTCGAAATGCCTACCTTCCCTGAACACTGTAAATAGGAAAACTTGGTTTGTGTGTTTAGATTTTTTTTTTTAATTCCCAAGAACCTTAGTGGGGAAAGGCTGGAAGGAAATCCTGCAAGAACCCAACTCCACAGCTCAGTCTGCACTAATGACTTCCTTCCCTTCAGTGTGAGCACAGCCAGCCTAGCTCCAGCCACACAGAGCAAACGGTTTCTGGGTCTTAGTGCCACGACATCTGCTCCAACACAAAAAGTAAAACATGCAGTTTCAGAGGCACCCAACAGCTCCTAAGGAATCAAAGCCAAAAACACCTACGTGGTCAGGAAATCATTTTAAGACATACTTAGGCTTGTAAGGCAGTTATATCTAGAGAAAAAAAGGAAAAGGAAGTACTCTAGGCTACAATCTTAATTTGTTTGAAGAAAAAAGATTTTAAGTATCTTACAGAATAAAATATTTTAATCAAGAATTTTACCCCCAATGAATTTTAACAGATTCCATTTCCTTCCCTGAATTTAGAACTTATTTCATTACTATAAAATCTATTTCTATGGGGATTGAGTTTCATTCATCTTCTGTGAAATTATTTCATCCTATTTAAGGAGATACATTTATAAATATAAAAATATTATGTAATTCTACTATTATTTACCATCCAACATGTCTATCAACTCCTAATCCACCATAAAGCTGTTTTGATAGCTGGAATATAACAGGTAAACTACTAGAATACCAACTGATATGCATAATAATAGTAACTGATGTATCAATGTTCCAACCATGTTTAACTTATTACCCTCTGACTTCTGTACGCATTCCCAGGATTGGCTAATATGGGAGATTACATGCAAATTGATCACTAACTATATCAGTATAAATAAGTCATTAAAACAGTATAAATAAGAAAAGTTAATTCTAAGGGACTGCTTTTGAGTTGTTTTCCAAGCCTGAGAATCTGAAATTCAATAGAGTGCATTATCTTTATAATAATCATATTAACAATTTTAGCTGAATGAACAGGTACTATTTATTGAGCCACTAGTCTATGCTAGAACCTATGCCTACATTCATTATCTCACAGCCCTGCAAGGAAGGTCTTCTTGTTCCATTTCCCAGTTGAGAACACCTGCGATTCATAGTGCTCATTTACTCAACCAAAACCACACATGTAGAGCATAGTGGGGATAGAATTCAGACCCACAATGACCCTACCAGAGCTTATGCCTTTTCTAAGACATGTATCATGGCTACATACCAACTTCTCATCTCAATAAACTTACTAAGTACCAATGACTTAAGCACCTATTATTTCACTGTTCCAAGTACTGGAAATATGAGTAATATGTTGTCCCTGCCCTTGAGAAGATTACATAAGTGTAGGCAGCAGTCACAAATAACTCCAACACTGTATATATCTGACATCAAAATCATTCTGGACAAATTTATTTGGATATGCTACTAGCATAGAAAGGTCAATAAATTCCAAACCAAATTCATCAATTTACTCTAAAATCAGCTTCTCTTCCCAACTTTCCTTTCTCTGTCTACAACACCATTTATTCTTCCAGGATCACAAACTAAAATCTAAACATCATTCCTTATGTGTAATCTAACACCAAGTCCTCTCTCTTATTTCTTAGACATTACAAATTCCTACTGCTGACATCTAAAGCCAGAACCTCACAAAACAAAGATACATTAAGTACCAACTAGGTGCAAAACATCATATAAGAAAGAAAGGTTTAAAACTAAGTCCTTATGCTAGAGAAAGTTACCAAGAAGTTAGAATGGAACCAAAAACCTATAAGAAGACAACCAGGCACATATTGCTTAGTCAGTTAAGCAATATATGAGTTATGTGGTCAATAACTTCAGGTTCTCCAGGAGTTACCAAGGATAAATCAACAAAAACAGGGATAGTCAAGGAAGGCTTCACAAAGGAACTTGAAGTAAAAATTCAGAGGAGGTACAACTTATTCTGGAGCCAAAAGCCAAGGTGCTTACCACAGACTGTAATGCCCTTCAGGGTCTGGACCTCTGCCCTGTTCTGAGCTCACCTTTTACCCTTTTCCTATTCCCTTACTCAGACCTGCCATACTGCCCCCTCACTGTCCCCTGAACATGCCAGCCACACACTTGTGCTCTCTGCCAGGATCACTCTTCCTCCAAAGGCCCTCTTGGCTGCCTCCCTAAGTCCTTCTAGAACTCTATTCAGATATCATACAGAAAAGCTGTCTCTCACAATCTCACCTAAGATAATACACACTATGACCCTCACGCTGTTCCTTTCTATCCTACTTACCCTGTTGCATTTTCCTTCTTAGCCCTTATGACATATACATCTACACACACACACACACACACACACACACACACACACACACACACAC